AGCGTCTTGGAGCTCGTGAATGCGCTGTTCATTTGCAGTCCTTTCAAACCGAAATTGGTCGTTCTCCTTCTAAACCAACTTCTGTTAAATAACATAGCAGTGGAAATGCCGCGAAAAAGGTTAAAAAATCGACCTTCAGTTCTTCAAGCTCATATTTCAACCGCTCCGTCTCTTCAGAACGTCCGTGGTTCAGTTTTGGAGACTTCGGGTTTGCATCGGAGAAGCTCTTCAACGACTGGAAAAGCTTTAGAGGAATTAGAGTTTGCTCAGTGGCTTGTCTATAAACTTTTAAAATTTCAAAGTGTATATTTTTTGGGGTTTGTTTGGGATAAATGAGAGAGTTCTGGCAAAGGTGTCGCACCTGGTTGTTTTTGTTTTCCAATTCTGTATGCCTTTGGTAGAGTGGAGCATTATTTTTTTCGTTGTTTGTTTTTTGATGTGCTGGTTTTTTCTTATCCGCAGTTTGTTCGATTAAAGGTTTTGATGGTATTTGGCGCTCGTTCTTAGTGTACCTGTCCTTTGTTCCCTAAATAAGGTCGTTTTTTTTGCGAGTTGGGTGTTCTTAGTGCATTTACTTTTGGTTAGCAGACCTTGAATTCTTGAATGTTTTGTTTGTGTGTGTTAGTTATTTTGGTCTTTTCTATCGTTGTCTTTTGCCGCCATTGATTTCTTTCGCTAGCCTAAAAACGGCAGTCGTTCGTAATTGAAGCACTGAAAATTAAGCAGTCGGAAAAGGGTTTAAAAATTACAAGATTTGTAAGTATTCCTTTCTGAAGAAACTCGATTTCCTCGTCATTTCGTAATTGTTCAATACAAGATTTCCTTAAAATGTTTTTTAGTTTTTAGCGGAAGTGTTTACTGAATTTTTCCTGTTCTTTTTACTCATCCGAGACCGTTTTTGGTATTCACTGGGAAACTTTAATTCTGTTTTTTACGTTACGAGAAGACAGTTTCTAGTTTGATGTTTTTAGGTACAAATTTTTTTTTTGACATTTTTTTTCTCATAGTGACTTTTCTTCAAGAGAAGAAAGTTTTTTCCTTCAGTTTTATTTTAAAATCTGCATTGAGGTTTTGGGCACATATAGCATTCTGTTTTCAAAAGTACAAGCGCTTTTACGTCCAATGAAAGATGCAATTAGTTGCGTCACAGAAAATTTTAAGAGCCTGTTACAGATGCGATATGGATTTTAAGTGCTATGGCGTCCTTGTAACAATGCTCTTCTTTTTGGCTCGCTAACTTTTAGTGGCTTTTCAAAGATTAATTTCAGAAAACAGAGCAGTGCGAGAAAACGGATAATCTGAGAGCTCGGTGTGTATCTTATAATCTTTAGCTTGCTGTAAAGTTTAAAAAAAAGACAAGCATAAATCAAAAGAAAGGTATGAAATATTGATTACTTCTCGTGTCGCTGACTTTGTGAAAGATTCTGGTGAGGTAAAGAATGTAAGTTACAAAAATCCAGTGAAGGTCTTTCAGCATTTAATGTGTCTTCCAAACACACTATCATGCCGGCCGTACTTTTCGCGGTAACGTCTGAAACTTCTGCAGCTTCGATAATTTGGCATACATTTAGTTCTGATGCCTGCAAGAATTAGAATTGAAGAATGAATTCAACCAGCTTAGGAGAAACACCAAAAAAAAGACCGTTACCGCACATTAAGAAAAACCGGCTCTGGTTTAGGGAAAGAAGGAACTTTCACTAAGGCGCGAAGATATCCAAAGCTTGATGCTTTTTCGATGAATAGTTTTGTTTTGGCGTAAACGCTGTGAAACCTGTCGCCTTGAGTTTTAAAAGTTTCATTAGTAATTCCTGAAAGCAAAATCTTTCGAGTTACTTGAACGAAGCACTAGATACAAACCTGTTAAAAAATGCCAATCAAAGTCTTCTACAAACTATTTCTTTTGTTGAAGGCAGACAAATCAAGATTAATTATGGGAATTAATTTTGTTTTCGTTTCTAAAGCTTTTAGTACTGTATGTGTAGCTGAAAGATGTAACTGTATTACACATAGGTTTATCAATTTTCGGAACGAGTCTACAATAGCAACGAAGCAGTAATAATGGTAATACTGAGTCGGGTGGTACAAATCAATAATATCAAGAGAACCTCAAAAAAACAAAATTTACCTTGTCGAAGTTTGAATAAAAGTTGTAGCAAATAGCGGTAGAGTACACTGACATCAACAAGCACAGGAGCGAGTGGAGCAAGCAAGCACTGAACCTGATTAAACACTAGTTTCTGTTCTAGAGGTGCTTCAATAAGGTCAAAAACTGAAAAATGTCGTTATTGACTCAAAATTAACCAGATATGTACTCATAAAAAACCGAAAAATGGCAAATTTACCTATAAACGGCAAACGCAATAGATTGTCCATCTGATCGAGCATTTCAAAGCAGCATACATACAACTGATTCATTTCCGCAGTAACTAAAACCGTGAAATGCTCATCAGACAAGTGAAGACTGCCAGTAAAGTTTGGATTCTGAAATAAATAACGTCGGACAATACCGACAAAAATTACCCTTTAGAAAATGGAAAAGCAACCTGTTCCAGAAAAAAGCGGAAAAATTTCTTCAAAAGCAAGGGGTTTTTGAACGAGAAAAAATTAATTAACAGTATTTTAAAGAATATTTCATATTAACAGCCTGTCATCAAAAAAAGTGTAGAAGATAAGTTTTTTTTAAACTTTCAAATTTATTCACTCATGGTGATGAAGACTCACAAAAGTAAAAAAAAGTGTGTTCAGAAGGTAATATCATAAACTTGCTTGTTCTAAAAAGTCAAGGCGGTTGACCAGAAGTTTAAAGTACACAGAGACTGGTGAGCAGAAGGTTGAAAAATTGCGAGACTCCCAATAAGTTCCAAGTTGAGCGAGACGCTGTTTCAGACTTTGGGCTTTTTCTACAACTTCTGGATGACCGTCACGAATTAACTGCAGAGGAATAAACGCGGGAAAGTTTTGAAAAAGGCAGAAAAAAAAGGAAATAAAAGTATTATAGCTGCATTAAAAGGTCACCGAATTGCCAGTGCTAAAGAATTTGTGACAGAGCGGTGATGCCAGAGTTTTGAACCCAGTACAATTTTAAAAATTCAAATAGGTTTAATTTTTATAAGAAGTCGCAGGAAACCTTATGAAGTAAGTGGCAAAACTTCCAAGAAATAACAGGGTTGTGCTCCAAGCTAATGCTAAATGCACAGTTCCAAAATATCGAAAACGAATGTTTGTTATAGGTGGTTTGCACTAATCTACAAACTGTTTTTCCATTAAGCGGCGTTTCCGTCGGGTTTAGTGCTCCTTGCAAAAAAGTTGCCTAGAAATTTTTTGGATGTAAAAGGTGTAAAAAAAGTCAGTTTAAAATAACTTTTTCTGCTTCCTCTTGTTTTGAAGTTTTCTGGTTGCTTACGCAATAAAAATCAAAAAATATTTTCCTTACAAGCAATTACTGCTACTTGTATGCTCTAGCTTGAGCCTCATAAAACGAATACTGTGCTCCCAAAAACAGTCACTCTTTTAAAAAAATACATGACAACTGTCTCTGGAAATTCAAGATTTTTGTTTTTTTTTCAGACTACGACCTTCAAAAAGAAGGAAACAATCTAAAAATGTTGAGTGCGCACTTATTTTGAGGTTAGCATTTGCGCTTATTTTTCTGCTTTTCTCAGTCGAATATTAAAGAAGATTGACCCATGTATTCAGGAGATATAGTAGGTAAATACAAGAAAAAGCTAATAAATAAGGTCTTGTAGTTTGTTTACGACGTAATTACTTTACATCTCTGTGCAAACTGAGATAAGCAAAAATGCCATTTCATTGGAACTATCGGTCCTCTAGCGATGGTCTTTTATTGCGGCAAGAACTGCTGATAAAGTGACTATTTTAATCTATGAACAACATTTCTTAAGCAAAATAAAAAAAAAAGAGAGGAAAAAGCATAGAGTCTTTGAGTAAAAGTGATCTTTACAAAATCAGTTTTAAAGATCTCTAATATTCTTTTGCTGATTATTTAAAATGCAAGAAATAACACCGACTTTTTCAAAAATTTTTTTTACGCATATATTTCGCAAGTTAAAAAAGTTTCTTAATTTATCTCTTGTTGGTTTCACCTTTTATGTTGTATCTGCATATCTGTTTCCCCTCACAACTTCATCAGTTTTTCTCTCACCATTACTCTTGCTGTCTCTCTTACTTAATGACCATTCCTTCTGTAAACTTTTAAAGTTTACTCTCGTCAAAAAAAAAGATCCTTTACTGACAATGACTCTAGTGGTTCAACAGAAAATGTTTAAAGAAAAAATTTTCACAGACAATCAATTGCTGCGTTGTCAGTGAAGATGTCTATGCAAAGATTTTACATTTAATCATTTACGGCACCAAAAACGTACCTTCTGGTGCCAGAAATTTAGTCTTTGAATGAGTGTTTTTTTTCACAAAAAGATATGTCACCTTCAAGCCTTTCAAAATCATATAGAAACATAGTGATAATGGTACTTTAATTTAAGCATTAGCTTAACAAATTGTTGCTAGTACTACC